ACGGCATCTGCAGACGGACTGGGATCACGAAGGCCGGCATCCAGCTGACTTGTCCACCTATTGGCTGCTTCTTGCCGGAGGACTGTCGTTCCCGTTGGCTCGCTTCTTACTCGATGATAGTTCGAAAAGACATCGATCACAAGTTTTCCGGGGTTTGGAAACATGGGTCGACCCACTGTTGGACGAGCACTTAGATGATGGCCGGAACATACCTGTTACTCGAATTGATACTGTGACTATCAATATTGATACTTGGAGGTATGGAAACGGCAACAAAGAGATTGGTCTTGCAGAGATACCTTTCCGTAAGATTAAAGGTCTGGCACATCTGGACTTTAAGGAGCTGTACCCAGTGGACTTCGCAAAGTCAGAAACCTACCTTCGCGAATTGATCAAATACATCGATGAGCGACTATATGGTACGGGGAAAGTAGCGAAAAAGATCGGAAAGATACAATTTTACCTTGATGGAAAGTTGTCAAGAGAATTGAATACAGTGTTATGACATATTGGTCAAGCTGTACCGCAAGGCGACATTATGTGGAACTCACAATCCCTCCTGAACTCAAACACCAGCAATGCCTAGCCTATCAGATCAACCCAACTTGCTTATCGTCGACATCGCGGTCACGGCCTGTTCACCCGACACATCACTATTTCTCGGCATACAAAGCCGCACCTAGACGGTGATGAATATCATGGAGAACAGCCATTCTTACTTCGGTTCAAACATCATCCAGGAGCGGAGCAATTGAGGAGTGGATGTTGAAGAACTGGCAGCGACCGGTCTGAAGTCGCCAACGACGAACATGACAGGAAGATGGAGCCAGGATGCATGCCAAATGTTTGACAGTATCAGGCGCAAGGCTTGACTTCCCATCAGGACAGCACCAAGCGATGCAGTGTTGGTATTTGGATCCGAATGCGAGTAGCGCTCGACAAGTTTTGAAGGGCGAGCATGCAGAAGTTCGTCGCACAACCGCTTCTGGACGCTTTGGCGTATGAATCAAGGAACATATTCTGTTCACCCTATGCTCTCGCAATCTGGTTTTCGTGAGACAATCGGTTAACGGAACCTTAGCTTGCCTATAGCTTGAAGCCACAGAAACAAGCTTCACCACGATCGCCTCTAAAAAGCAAGTGCCCACGGGTGGGGCTCGTCATTCTACGATGATCTACTCCAGCATCGAGCGATTCGGCAGCCACGACGGATGTGCCATTGGAGATCGGCAAGGCTGTGACGCGCATAGAACTGGTTTCCCATGCATGGGATTTCCAAATCACGTTCAAGAAAAAGCATGGGGATTTTCAGTGACGTACTTGCCTGCAACAGGTTAGCACTGCGTTAGCGGTGTCACGTGCGTTGGTCTTCAGCCACCAATCACGCCTGTATCGTGGCTTGTCGTTCAAAGCCATCCAATCTCATGACGTGCCGAGAAAGCGCAAAGGCAACATGCCACTGCCGTGCAACAAGCCTAAGCAAAATCTCCGCGGTTCCAGGTTTAATTTGGATGCGGGGGGTTGGTACCGAAGCTGACGGTGACGGTGAGTGACGACCGTGTCAAACGGGTAAGAGGGGCCTGGTCTTTGTGTCACGTCGCTGTCACCTCATCCTCAGAGCTATAAGATAGTAGATCTTTGCGCTGCCCTCATCTTCAGCATTCAGCAGAACTCACCAATCCATCAATACCATCCACGTCGACACCCAGCATATCAACATGGTGCACGCCCAGGAGCCCATTGACGGTCCGGTCGACTACCCAGTCACCGACAAGCGCGAGCAAACAGGTCTTCTTACGCGTCAGTAACTACTCATGAACTGCATGTGAGACAAATACTGACTGCGTACACCCATCTTTAGGCTTCGTGCCGGACAAGCTCAAGAACACTTCCTTCTACCGTTGGTTCTTACGCTTCACACGCCTCCTACAATTCATCAGCTCTGTGGTCTCACTCGGCATCTTTTCTCAACGCTTATATAAGGTGTATCGCCTTGTCAACAGCGTCAAGACCTATCGCGGCATCAACGGCAGCTATGGTGCAGTCGAGGGCATTCTTGCCGCCGCCGTGCTGTATACTTTGATCACGATCCTACTTTCTTGCATCAAGAAGTCAGCGAACCCTGGCGGTCGAGTACTCCGATGGATCTGGGTACTTCTCGACCTTGCATTTGTTGGAGCATTCATCGCAGTGGCTGTGCTTACGCGACCGAACGGAGGTCTTGCTGGTGCTCGTCACTGCTACAGCCCGGAGCGTATTGCTAACGGCAATACCGGTGTTGTTACTGGCGCGACTGCGAGCCGTGATGACAGCTGTAACCTGCCGTGGGGCACCTTCATCTTGGCAATTATCAGCACGTATGTTCTCCGCTGCCCGAATCCCTGAATCATCTGCTGACTGGCTACCAGACTCCTCCATGCCATCACGGCCTCCTTCCACGAGATTAGGGACCACCGCCGAAAGGCCAGGCTCGAACACGAGAAGGCCGTTCAGCCACACACCGAGGCCGCCGCTGATGGCGTCCGCTACTAGATCCTCAAACCGCTCGATGTTCCGTTAGAAAAAAGGCATGGGGGTTGTGAAGCACGAAGATGTGCCCACACATATCTACCAAGCCCCACGAACAACACACACGTATACCCATAGTGCATCAGCCTAGCGCTTGATGTATTATATCCTCATGAGTTTTCACTCTAGCGAATGGCGCCACTGGGCCGGAGTTTCTGTAGTCATTGAGCGAAATAATTCGTTCAACTAATGCAACACCTACCGTATATTCTACTCGAAGATGTCTATCAGATTGTGATGCCAATTCGGAAGTAACAAGGCTGGTGACGCTGTCCATCTCGGTGACCCGCCCACCGGCCTAGAAATCGCTCAACACAGTCTTCTCAAACTCCTCCGCGTACTCTTTGGCTGGGGTGATTGCTCCAAGCCAATACCCACCCCTAGCATCCTTACCAACACACATACCAATGCCCCCTGAGCTTTTACCCCAGCCGTCCACCCGTCTATCGTGACCGTTAACACTGATATACATAGGCTTTCCTCTGGTCGGCCTACTAGTCAACCCACCCTCATCACCATCATCAGAAACGACAGCAGCGCTGAAATCTGTATCAAACAACGTTGCCTTTGCCCAGTTTGAGAACACGTAGGCTGCCGGCCCCATCTGCGGATCCGACGGAGGCGTAAGGTTTTGCTGTCCGTTGCGGCTGGCACGCTGCGAAGCTTCCACCGCCTCTCTATTCGCCTGCTCAACAAGATCTTTGCGAATACGAGCCGCAACGTGACCCAACGGCATACCGACAAACTGCTGTACACTGAACGCCGAAACGATTCCACCTGTGCAGTTTGCAACATATGCTTTTCCTTTTGGAATCAAGACCTCGTATTTGGATGACGAGGTAGATAATACGTCTCGCATGCCCAAGACATTGAGGATTATGACGGGTCGAGCAGGGGGTGAGTTGAGCAGAGAGGTGTCAGAGGAAACGAGATGGCGGATTAACCATGCTGAGAATATGTCGCCGTCTGAGAGGAAGGGCTTTGGTGCGGAAGACGTTGAGGTATTGTAGGTTATTCGTGAGGCGTCGAGAGATTCAAGATCGCGCATTGCTTCAGTTCGCAAGCGAGCCATGTAAGCCGCGGGCATGTAGAGCATACGGCCGTTCTGCGTTGTCGTCGGTCTAAAGAACAGAGAATAAAGGTATGCGAGCGTCGCTCTGGGGTCTAGCAAGCTTGGAAGCCAGGTCTTCAAGTTTGACATCACCATCCAGATCTGAGATTGCGCTTTCTCTTGCACTTGCGTAGTGCCGGCACTCAAACCCTCTGCATCCTGGTTGTCCTCATCGAGAGAAGCTCCAAGCCGCGTCAACGGGTCGAAATCGTAACCCCAGAACTCCGGTACATCTTCGTCTCTTCCTTCTAACACTGCCGTCCACGCTCTCAGTAGAGTCTGTCGCCCCATCGCATCAAGAAGCGTATGTAGCCAAGTCAGGGTGACGAGTGTCGCATCCTTGAAGCTCGCTACATGTAAGCCTAACTGCGCATCGTCTGAAAAAAGCCAGTCATCAAGAACTGAAGTATTGCCCTTCGCACTTATAACCCCACGTTGCGACTCTAGAACGCCGAAGACCTGGACACTGTCGTTACGCTCGTTTGCAGTAGGAATCTGGCAACCAAGAGGATGGTCCTTCAATTTGCTGTCATAAATCGCATGGGTGAAGTTGACTGGCGGTCGTTCTTTGGTGTACTGTGCTGGTATGTGGTATTCAAGTTTATCGTTGCTGGTGTTGAGGCGCAGTCGTGCTCCCAACTTCCTCCAACCCGGTTTCTCCAGCAACCTCCATAATGCTTCGACAAGCTTCCGCTCGTCAAGAACTTCGTCAAAACACATGGTGAATTCGACTGAAACGTTTCTGTTTTGATGCGTGTCGTCGCGGCTGTGGAGGGGTATGATGGTATCCGTGGGTATGCGAGGAGGAGCGACTCGCTGCCCAGGGAAGTAGTTCGATAGGAAGGACATGTTTAAGAAAGCGAAAGCTATCACTGGGTGCCTCACAGAAGAAGGAGAAGGTGATTTACCGATGTCGTATCAATTTTGGTGCGGGCAGATACTCCAAATATATGTCTTACGTCTAAGCGACGCGAACCAAATGCATGTGCCACAAGCGATACTTGGGTACGCCCGGGCGATATCTCACGTGAGAGGTATCGGATAGTCGATTGCCCAGGGCTTGTAGACCTTACATCCGCACTAAATGGCGTTCAGATGTGTGCCTAATAGCAGTAGGGGTGCCAATCATATGTGCCTTGGTGTAGTAAAGGGCTTGGATTAAGTAGCCTACTGGTAGTGTCGCATTAAGGCTTACTATACGCCAAGCCTCGCATACCGGTCAGCGGGATCTCGGGAGAGTCAAATCCCCGACTTGCCGGCAAGTACGAATACACGAAGGTCGTGGCGGGTTAAAAAAGTCCGAGAGTGTCCACAGACCGCCTCACTGGGCGATAGTCGTCGCCTGCAGCGTTGTTGTAGGTTGGGACTGAGATGGATATGCAACACAGAGCAAACGGAGATATTGTAGATCATCGTAATTTCATAAGTACCGTCGACAAAGAAATGTCAATTACCAGGCCCAGTGAAATTCCCAATGAACACTACCAAGATCGCACAGTAGGCTGCAGACGCCGCGAAAAGTTCATGCCTCGCCGCCTTGGTCAGCAGACTCATCGCAGCACTGAATAGTAATGTGAATACTATGAGCACACCAACTGCGTTGAATGTATCTCGCTTGTTAATGTCCACTTGACTCTGGGCGGAAGTCTTGCCTGATGGGTCGGTCTCAATATGGGCAGCAGTGTTCGTCAACTGGTACATGGTGATGACTGGTACCACGAGGAGACAGAATATGATGAAGGTGATGAGGATGTTGACCAGTTTGTCGACGCGAGAGCTGCTGTAGTAGGAGATGTCGGAATCACTGGTCTTCTTTTGCGCTTCTGGGGTTCGGAAGTATTTCTGCCGACTGTGTAAGTGGTTTGGCTCTTCATTTTGGAAGATAGAGTTGACGTACCTGTAGTGGGGGTTTCTCTGTGTTGAAGACCTTCTTAAGAAAGCGGTCTGTTTGCCCTATCATCGTCTCTACGCCACCATCGAAGCTCGCCCACTCACGACCGTTGTGAATGGTGACTATGTCTTCCTTTGTTCGGATGGAGTCCAGTACGTCATCCATTAGCGGCTTCTTCTTGAAGCAATAGCGTCGCACACTGCGATAGTTGCGATCTGATGGCTTTTGGAAAGACTGGAGTTCTCTTGCCTTTATGAGCACCTCATCTATGCCTCAATTAGCCATGTGCTCTCCGCTAGGATGCTTGCGGTTATCGCTAAGGTATACATACCGTATTCGATCAGTTTAGCCTTGATCTCGCGAAGTATGACTCGACGGCTGCGATCAGCTCCTTCACCGATAGGCTGCTGGATGTCGTAGTCTCTTGATTTCAGACGAGTCGGATTCTCAAACGCATCTTCGCAGTCGATCTCATCGAGTTCTCTTTCTAAACAGGTGATCTCATCCTGCAAATCAAGCAGCACACGTGAGTGCAGGTAGCTGAAACTACGATATAATGCAAAATTTGTGTCGCTAGCTTGGAATGCTGCGAGCCTTGGGAAGCCATTAGGTGTATCTTCCACTACGATTGATCAGTGACAAGCGATATGAAGGATCCTGAATATACTCACGTGTCCGAGTGTTGGTCTCAGTCACGAAGAGAGGTTCTGGCTCGGAGCGGAATGAACCTGTCATGCGATGCATCAATCCAGGCCGCTTATTGTCATTCGCTGAAGCAATGTCAGTGTTGCTCATATGGATACCAATCATGGCCCTAGATTGTAATCACGTCATGCATACGAGCTGGCTGACCGGTTTGAGCCATTGCGCTTCAGCTGATGCCGAACATCGACGATGTTTGGCGCTGGGGGCCAAAATAGTGGCATGGAGTGACCTACAAGGCTGTGCACTTTCAATGTCAACGTCGACATCATTTGAGGTCGTTGGCATTGGGGCCAACACAGTAGGGTGGCAGTCGCTATTCTCGTCCGCTACTTCGATGTAGGCGTCACCTCTTAGGGTTGTGTCGGTACCCGTTGGAGATACTGGCGATTGAGGTGTCTTCTCATCGGTAAATGTATCCCCGGTCATGGTGCGAAGAGGGGTCATGGCGAGAAGAGACAAGCGAGGCTTGCGTGACAGCGACAAACGAGCGGACGAAGAGAAGACGAGCAAGGTATTTTGCACAATCAAATATCACTCAAGCGAACATTAAGAGTGAGTTGTGGCTAATAGATTGTGGCAACAGAAGGGTGTAAGTAGTATTGAGCAACGGGAAGCAGAAAGATGATGGTCGCATGTGGAAGACTCAGCCCCAACGCCTCACTCACAATTGGCTGCGCGCGTCACAAATTCAGCTGCCTGGTGACTTTCCGGTGAGCTCAGCCTCAGGCAATGTAGCACTGTTCAGGCGCCGGCCTTGAGGTCCCTTTCGCGTGTCCAGCTGCCATCCACCTTTTGCGTGTAGTAGTCTTCAAGCTGATACTCGATCCAGCCATGAGGGCTGCTCCTGCGCGCGTAGATCTTGTAGGCGGACTTGGATTGAGCACCACCGGGCGCTGATGCCTTCTTGCGCACTCTGTCGCCCTTGCTGAAGCGCGCATCCGCCTGAGTTTTTGTTAGAAAAGTGTGTTGCGCTGAGAAAAGAACGGACATACTAGATCCGCGGTTGTGATTTGGCCAACCCCAGACTTGGTCATAGGGGTCGTGTTACCAGGTGTAGAGTCCAAATTTTGATCCTATGCCTGCGTATCAGCTCTGCGTTGCTGCAATGACGGGGCGCGACTCACCTCCACAGCCAGTACAGGCTGATGTTCGAGCATATCGGTTGCCATGATTACTGGAAGTCTGTAAAGCGAGGCAAAATAGCCTTGTAGGTGATGCCCTTGGGAAGGAGCAGGCTGTCTTCTGTTATAGAGAGGGCTATTGCTGGCCTCCGTGACCATGTACCTGCTGCAGCCCCAAGCAACACAGGTTCGTGACCGGTATTGATGATAGTCGGGACCCTTTGGGTTTGCACAGCCGCAGCTTGGAATGTTTGCTTAGGTGCATGCAGCGATGGGGCACCCATGCGCCATGGCCCCCTCCACAGGTGTCCTACCGCTGAGCAAGCCGTCATCGTGAACGGCCATTTACCGAAAGAGGCTATGGCACGGGACGGAACGCCCAGTTCTTAGTAAGACGAGCGTTGGGGATGCATGGTGGAGGCACTGCCTTTGGCCCCCAATGGTGGTGGTGTGATTGCGCGGTGCGCTAATTGGCCAAGGCCAGCTGCATCTGCTATCTCCGCACTCTTCAAGCCGTGGTGCATGCACCCAATATGGGGGCTGAAGGTTACTCCAAGGCTACGAACTCCACCCTTCAAAATGGCGGGCACCTGCGAACTCTCTCAGCCTCGCACCTTGGAGGCTTTTCCACCCGATGGCTCCCCTACCAGACTCCACGATGCGCGTCGCGAACGCAGCAACGACGACCGAGATAGCCCCTCCTCGCAACGCAAACTCCGTCCAAGACAAAGTCATCAATGCCGACATTCGCATACGCTCGATTGAAGACGAGCTTCAGCGCACCGGACAGTCTTCCCAAGCTCAGGAGACTCTTGTGGAGAGCACGCCTAACAAGGACAATGGCGAACCGAGCGCGGAGACGCAAAAGAATTGGTGGGCAGAGGCCATCGCAGAAAACATGGATCTGGCAGACGGCTACACCAAAGTTGCAGTGCTGTTGATCAAGTGGGAAGACGGTCTAGACGAGCTCATGACTGGTGGCGAGGTATGTCAGGGAGAAACGCGTTGCGTGCAGATTATAACTAACAAATTTCAAGGCCAAAGAACTCGAAACCCTCTTTCGCGATCGCTTTTACTATCAAACCAAGACGGTCGAATTGAACGTACGGGAGAAGCCACAGCATCAGCTCAACAAACATATCAGCCAATTCATCTGCGAGCATGACGGAGCGCAAAGTCTGCTCATTGTCTACTATACTGGGCACGGCGTTTACCAAGAATCCACCAAAACACTGGAGCTCACAGGAACTCCAAACCCCGAGGAATCAAAAGGCTTGATTAATACAGCCCATGCGAGTTGGAACATGGCAGAGGAGCAGCTCCGTCAGCCAATCGTCGAGGCCGACGTACTGACCATATTGGACACTTGCTACTCTAGCAATCTTGTCAAATCCAGCCGGCAACAAGAGAAGAAGTTCGAGCTGCTGAGCGCCTGTTATTTCGACGAAACGACTGCCGCTCCTGGCCCCAATTCATACACTCGTGCTTTCATCGACGCTGCCAAATACTTCCTCGACAACGATCCCAAACGTCCAATATCTACTTTCAGCCTGACACAGCGCATCAACGAAGACAAGAGGCGCATAGATACGCCCTCACACCTCTGGGGTCGTAGCCGGAACCCTCAGCCAAATCAAGAGCACATCTTTTTGACGCCCCTTACTCCCTCCAAAGCCGATGCCCTACACGAATACCGTCCACGAGCACAGAGCTACTTGACCTTACGATTCGGTCTGCGCCACACCTCGCTGAATCAAGCACAAATCGATTACATGGCTAAGCTTCTTACAAAGGCATTGAACAACAAGGAATCAATTGGCCTGAGGAGAATCGACTGCATAGACATGAAGCCTGCACCGCCACTATCGCACTTCGAGCGCGTTACATCCGTACTGCGCGTCAAAGCGAAGTGGAAGCTGCTAGTTGCTAAGAACAAGGAGAGAAAGCAGGCACAGAACGGAGGCGATGCGAACGGGTCGGTGAAGCGCGCATGCGAGGATGCAAACGAACTACCACATGCTAAAAGGCAGTACCTGGGCCCAATACCCCCGCCGTCGCCGGCAGTATCGGACGCATAGGGTGTAGTGTCCCTCATCCCTCTTCGTTTCCATCATTTCTACTCTCTTTTCAGTTCTGTTTAGATCTCGGATACCCCACTCGTGCTTGTCGTAAAGATTACGCTCTATTACTACATATCGGTCATTACATAGCTAATGTATTCGCAACTATGATTGCACTTCATTCGTTGCGGCCAAGCATTTCCATCGGCTTCTACTCGGAGGTTGCCCAAACAGGTGGCGCCACTTCTTGGTCTCACCACCATCATCACGTTAAGCTTCGACAATACAGCAGGATAACGCTAGACACGTAGCACAGTACAGAGAACCATATCGAAGCTTCTCATCTCCCCTGGCCGCAGCATGATACCCTGATCAACACTTTGCGCTGATCATTTGCAGTGTGGTATAAAGTCGAAGCTTTCCTACGAGGATACGCTCACATTCACATTCACTCAACATCAACATCCAAACCACAACTTCAGCCTACAATTCGACGTCGCACTACAAGCTTCATCGATATTAGCCATCGACCAATCTAGCCATCAACATACTACCATCCAATGGCTGCACCCAGCACAACCGCCGCCACCATGCTGACACCGGACCGACACAACCTCACCATCGGTCACTGTCGCGCGCAACGACAGGCACTCTATTCCCACACCGATCTTGGCACACCCACGCTGCTAAAGAAGCGCCCGAAACCCATCATCTTTACCCCACGGGCAAGTGAGGATGAGTGGACGGAAAGTCAAGAAGAACTTGAGCGCTGGGGTATGGGAGTCACCAAGACGACCAAGCCAGGGTCTAGTCAAGTCACAGCACCAAGCCGCTCGCAAGGACGGGGTTTGGAGTACGAGGAAGTAATGGGATTCTGTTAGTGAAAAGGAGGAAGAAGAAGAATGAATAAATGAAGAATGTTGTTAAGATTTCATCATGGCAATCGATTGTTTCTACTATCTCTCTATATCGGCCTCTCTCTTACTACTCTTGGTAACTAGTGCTTCGCTTCTGCTTCGCGCACTGCAATGGCTACAACCAACTCCAGCGCGCTTGCCTCTAGCGCGCTCGCTCTTCCCCAGAAAGACGTCTTACACCCGCCGCCTAGCTACGCCAAGCTCGCTCCTGCTATGCTTGCTAGGCGGCGAAGCCACCTCTCGTCAACACTATTCGTCCCTCCTTGCCTCTGTCGAACGTCCTCGCGCCGCTACATTACCCTGTAGTACCCCCTCACTTGCAGCATCGCCTCGGTGTGGGTACATACTATCAACCCTCAGGCTGCCAAAGTTCCACGCGCTGTTATACGCTCCTGCCTTACTCCCTCACTTGCAGCATCACCTCGGTGTAGGTACATACTATCAACCTTCAGGCTGCCAAAGGTCTACGCGCCGCCACACCCCCCTTAGGAGTGTCTACTATGGCCAAAAGAAAGATCCAACATGACCCATACAAGCAAAAGAGTATGGACGGCTACATCTCGCGCACCGCCCCGCCCCGTCTTACTAAGACTACACCAAAGAGCAAAGAAGTCGCCCCCGCCCAACCACCCAAGCCCATCAATACTCAGCGGAAACGGCGACGAGAAGACGACGACGACACGGATGCGGCGCGGCCCCCCGCACAGGACATCAGGCTTACGAGAAGTGCCAAAAAGCGACTAGATGCAGGGTCAACCAGTCGACATGCAGATGAAGATGATGCACACAGCCTGCACGAGTCCTACATAGCAGGAGCAACAGACGATGATACAGGCAGTGTTTTTGAGTCAGAGAACTACAGCGATCCCGAGGGCGACGAAGAGGACATGTTTCTGAGTTCAGACGACAACGAGGACGAGGCCAGCCAATCTGAGGACGAGGCCGACCAGTCTGACGAGGCCAACCAGTTCGAAGACGAGGCCAACCAGTCCGACGACGATGCCGACATCCACCATGCGGACGATGATGACATGATGGAGACACAGTATTCCCTCGAGATACCGCTACGCGACAAAGACCTCTTTAATGTAGATGTTACCGCCGCCGAGGTTACATCCATGGTGGAAAAGGTTCTACCTGCGCTGTCTTCCAAGAAAATCCAACGGTTTTACAAGACAGTAGCAGAGCACCTTGACAAATCCCCTCCATTGAGCATAGCAGTGCGATCTTGACACCCCACTACCTGGTCGTTAGTCAACCCTGACTTTGATTTACTTTGGAAGCACTCAGTCGACGGCGAGCGCGCTCTAGATCTCGGCGACCCAAGTCTATTACCAAAGTGGCTCAATATGTCGGAACACGGTCTCGTAAAGCCAATCGGCTCGTTCACCGACACCCTACTGCTAATCTCCAGCTGCCCAACAGCATCGGAGGAAGGTAGTGTTCATAACCACTATGGTACTGTGGACGACATAAGCAACGTCTGTATGTGGATGCTATACGCTAAATTTGGGTACCACGTGGCGGACCTACGATCACACGCTGTAATGCACATAGACATTATGGCTCGACGACTCGACCGGAATCTGATACCAGGATCTGATGGAGACAAGCTCTTTCGAATTACACCATTAAACCACTCTGGCACAGTGTCGTATGCTGGTATTGATGAAGTACAATGAATTATTCAAGATTGTTTAGGTAGAGCGGGATATGTGTAGCTACTTTCCAACTAGATTAGATCCAAGGATGTTCACAACAAGTAGGGCTAGTGCGTGATCATCTAGACGATCGGATAAATTTCAGATTTGAAATTCTGTAGTCCCCGCCTCATGCCACCAAATAAGAGGATTCTGGGGAAGATAGCTAACCTCTAATGCGCTGGATAAAGGTTCTGTTGCGACTGCCTTGTGCCAATTAACAAGAAGATGCCAGGGAAGATGGCTAACCTCTCATGCGCTGGCTAAGAGTTCTGTCACAACTGCCTCATGCCATTTACTAAGAAAACGCGGTAAGGATGGTTGGCTCTAATGCGCTAGATAGAGGTCCTTTCGTGACTGCCTCATGACACCCACCGAGAAGACGCGGGGAAGGTGGTTAGCCATCGATAATGCGCTGGGTGTGGGCCCTCTCGCGACTGCCTCATGTCACTCGCTTTTGAACAGCGAGCACACGGTACTCGAGGTTTCTTATATTCAAACCTCTCTTGCTTCAGGCGTTTTCCATCTGTCATTCACGTCCACCAGTGAACGCATTGCATCCTCAAGACCTTAACCGCCTTGCCGCCAACGCGCTCCTATAACAAGAACTTCCCACCCGCCATGCCGCCACCGCGCTCATCCAGCAAAGAGAACTCTCCACCTGCAAAGAGACCTAAGAAGACAGCACTGTCGGCAACAGCTTCAAGAGCACGCAACGCGCCTTTGACAGCACTGTCAGCATCACCGTCACAACTACCTGAACCGCCACCAGAACACCGGACAGTGCGGACTCGACCATCAACAACGTTAACAGGCTCAACGAAAGCAAAACCACCCCATGAGTTTACAGTATTCACCGACAACACCAGAGCGACAGAGCAGATACTAGACGACGCGAATCCCACCACTAGCATCATTGACGAATGCACAGTACCTGATATTGTCGACCGATGCTCGCTAACCGATCACGACTTGTTCGGTGAGCTAACCGCTGACGACATCCGCATTCTAGTAGAACGATTGCTGCCAGACCTTCAAGAAGAGGGTAAGCTCTACTCTACGTACAGCACGTAAGGTGCATGTGTACTAACTTTGCCAGGGATTCAAGAGTTTCTTGCTACAGTCTATGATCACACCTGCAAATCCCCGCCTTTCCTTATACCCCGCCGAGAGCGAGACCCGTCGACCTGGCCACTTACGTATCCCGACATGGACTATGCATGGGGCCAGGCAGTGGAAGGCGAACATGCTATTGAGCTCCCTGAGACAATGGACAATTGGATTGACATGAGTGAGGGCAATCTGGGTAAGTTTTCAACGTGAAGTTGGATAGCCTCCAAGCTAATTACGCTCTCGCAGTTAAACCGACTGGAAGCCTCCTCGATACTCTTCTCATTGTTAGTTCATACCCTACTGCCAAGGAGGACAGCACCGTACATCGATCGTATGGTACCACCCTAGACATTTCGAACGAGTCGATGTTCATGATCTACACCAAGCTTGGACATCACGTATCCTCGATCAGGGACCACGGCGCCCTCCACTTGGACGTATTCCCCAGGCGAGTGAACCGAAACCTTGCGCTCGGTCTAGGGAATATCGTCGACCAGGTCCCGACCAATCTAGGCATGTATTGGAAACTCGTGGTCCGTCAGCTCATTGAGTTGTCGCATTCCAAACTGGCTCTCCTCGTCGGGTCCGCAGGCGTTGCCACGTACGTCGACTATCTCAAACAAAACAACATCCGCCATCAAATATTTGGTCATCGAACAAAAGCGTGCAACGCTACCGGAAAGAGATTCATCACGGAGTAGAACAGGTTGCAGATGGAGAGAGAAGCGCAAAAGAAGAGTGAAGGTGAAACGAAGAGATAAGGGTAAGTTCTCTATGTGCGAGGCATGCGTGAGGCATACACTGACTTCTTAGTGTTAGGATTGTAGACCGAGAAGGTTAAGTCCCTTGGAAAAAGCCATGGTGGTCAAGATTCGGGAACACACGGAGAGTGGTGTGGAGTGAAGTGGAAAGATTTGACAAAGAGGAGAAGCTTGAAATCAATCGAAGGATACATAAATTAAATACAAGACGTGTGCGCTGTGGGAATTACATCAAAGTTGCAGTGTGAAGATGGTGATGTCTTCGTATCGGACTCGGCACGATGCGTGGGCGGGAGATCCGCTAGCGGCGCACTGCTGATTGGTTTCATGCAGGTCCGCTTCAACCCCAGAAATAACTCCCCAAGCCGCGCATCGTGAGCGCCGCTGCCACCAGAGTGCTGCGCCCGTGCTGCTGGCGAGCGCTTCCGATAATCTTTTAATCCTGCAGTATGTAGAGCGCAAGCACGTCTATTATACCAAGGCTCGAAACCTCCGGCACCATGGACACGATAGCAGTGGCCCCCAAGGCGTCGGCGCTGGCGTCGCCCAAGATTGTTAAGAATGCAAAGGGCAACATTGTACCGAGCAGCCAGATGGCGCATATCGCGTATGGATGCGGTAAGCGCTCAGCCATCCAGAATGTCGGAGGAGGCTGCTAACACATGGCAGAGCACATGGGCGAGATGTTTGAGAAGGCGCGCAAGCAGACGCTCCAGCACTACCGAGCCATCCTCCAGAATATTCACGAGAAACCGAGTATAATAGCCCAGACGTACACTGCGCCTGCGGATGCGCGCAATGTAGTGTCGCTGAGGCCGCTGTACCTGTGCCTGCAGTGTCCGAGCATCATGACCGAGGTGGATCGCGATTTGCACTTCGAGACCAAGTCGCACTGTTTCTGTGGGTTCCGACGATGCCGTATACTTGCGAAGGCTAACAGGAAGCAGCTGTGGAGTCACGAGACGGCAACATATACTGTGGCAATTGCCAGGACTTCATCTACGACGAGACGTTGGACGTGCTGAGAGTACAGAAGGGTGTGTGGCGACATGCTCATGCTTGAAGGGAATCAGATTGGCTGACTACAATACAGGCAAGAAGCGAAAGTACGAAGACAACACCACGACCGAAGACCACAAGCTCGTAATCAGCAACTCGACCTTCCTCCCCTGCCGCGCGATAGGCCTGCGTGGGCTCTATAATATGGGCCAGACATGCTTCATGAGCGTCATCCTACAAACCCTCGTCCACAACCCGTTCATACGAAACTTCTATCTTTCCGAAGGTCATAAGCAGACAGAGTGCGAGAGGGACTCATGTGTGAGCTGTGCGCTGGACGAGATGTTTGTCGAATTCCACTCAGCTGAGAAGACAGAGGGCTTTGGCGCCGTCAGCATGCTCATGGGCAGCTGGCTGGCGGGGGAAGCTCTCGCAGGATACCAGCAGCAGGATGCGCACGAGTACATGCAGTTCATACTCAACACGCTGCACCAGGCGAACGGCGGATCGACAGACGACTCGGAAGATTGCAAGTGCGTGGTACATCAGGCCTTCTGCGGGAAGCTCTCAAGTACGGTGACATGCGACAATTGCCGCAATGTGACCACGGCGCAAGACCCGTATATGGACCTTAGTTTGGACGTACGGATACAAGGCAAGAAGCGGAAGATCAAGGAGGAAAAGGGTGAAGAGACACCTCTGGATTTGAGGGACTGTCTCGAACGCTTCACGGTGAAGGAGAAGCTGGGCTCAGCAGAGTACACATGTCGAAATTGCGACAGTCCGCAGAATGCGACCAAGCAGCTGAGCATCAAGAGGTTACCACCGGTTCTCTCCATTCACCTCAAGGTAAGTACCAAGAGCCGTCCGCAGCGTCCCTATACTGACAATTACTCAGCGCTTCGAGCACACAAAATCCGCGTCCTCCAAGATCGAAACCCCCGTTCGCTTCCCAGTCAAACTAGACATATATCCCTACACGACCGCCCACAAAGCCGCCATGCGCGCCGTGAAGACCTCCGGCGCACCGCTCTCGAACCACAACGTCAATAGCCCGGCAAACGCCCTCGTATACGAATTAAGCAGTGTCATCGTGCACAAGGGCAAAATCGACTCTGGACACTACGTCAGTTACAGCAGGGAGGGCAACGACTGGTTCATGTTCGACGATAGCAAGGTAGTGCTGGTCAGCGAGGCAGAGGTCCTTGCTGCAGAGGCCTATCTGCTATTCTACATGGTTGGTGGACTAGAGGTATAAGAGCCTCCTTGGAAGAAGGTGGAGTTCCGGCAGTTTGGTGTACAGTATCTCTGCTCGGGCATGTTACAGGCCCATGAGCTGCATGATTGGCGTTTAGAGGGCACTCCGGCGTTTGTGAGGGCAAGTTGAGACGCCCTCTTTATCTTAGGATTATCTGGCATACGGGCTTCAACATTGTCACTTTCTCAATACATTACAAGTTTTCTTCCACAAACTTCCCCCATTCCTACTACAGAGTAAATCATCCTGACTTTCTTCGAACGCATTGGTGTTCATCATCCCCATTCCCAATCAGGCCGTCCGCCCGATTCATGCTATCACGACCTCTCCACTCGGGAAACTTTGCCGCGGCCAATACCGCCGCACACACACAAACGCGCCGTTTCAACGCACACTTCGTAGGGCAAAAAGCGATCTGAGCAGCACCTATTTTCATCGCAAACAGGTACATCCGGTGGCTTTACACCGCTCATCACATCCTCTTGCAGCAGCACCCCCACTCATGCAATATATCTGCTTTCGTTCAATGATTCATACTCTCGTTGGCTACATATATTAAGGTATCGCTGCCTCGAAGGCTATCATATGACTTTATTCTCTTTTTTACTTTATGTACTAATTGAACGGCGACTTCGCCTTTGTCGAACTCGAAGAAATATTGCTCCTTGAGCTGGAATCCTCAAACATGGTTTCGATCTGGGTATTAACCGTTATCCCTTTCCCGCTCACAAACTGCTCGACGCCGCCTATTTGATCCGATGGCGGATCTGTGAAGAGCGAGTCTTCTGATCCGTTTGCTCGGTTCCGCGTATCGTGTGTGGAGTGCAGACCGCCGGAGATCTGATTCGAAGCCGTCAGGCGGTTTCCGCTTGCTTTTCGTCGCGCGGACGAGAGTTCGTAGTGGCGGCCGTAGCTGTTGGCGGAGTCTTTGGTGGTGTTGTTTGTGCCGAGGATCATGGAGCGGAGCGCGGGGAGGCAGGTGGCGATTATGGCGATGGCGGTTTCGATCATGGAGACGGTGCAGGTTAGCATCGTTTCGTTCCTGTGCGAGTAGTAGGCTCGAACGACTGGCAATATGTTAGTCTGATTCTAGTTCATCTCGAATCTGATGGGGACGTACTGCTGGCAATTACGACGAAGAAACCCAGAGCGAAGATTCCGGCTACACCGAGCTTTTGCTTCAGCTTCATCTGCAGCCTGGAAACCATGGTGATGGGCAGGCAGATGATGAACACGTCGGTTGCGATGTTGAAGCAAATGGTGATCCAGTAGTTGATCTCGGCGGCTTTGGGACTGCATTGATCTGCGCATGGTCAGTCTCCACCGTTCGCATGCATGTGGGTCAGGGTTTGCTTTTTGCTCACAGGCTGGGTTATTCGACCATCGCTTGTCGTGGGGGAAGCACTGAAAGATGATGTCGAAAAAGATGACGAGATAGGTGGCAGCTAATCCGGCAAGCGTGAAGTTATACACAAGGACCAGTCGTGAACCTGGAGCAGCCAGGCTCTTGTAAAAGAAGACCAGGGCAAACTTGATCGCCCATAGTGAGGAAACGTAGAGTGTCGATCCGGGGATGATCATCTGCATTATGCCCTTGAAGTTTTCCGGGGTTATAGACGCCATGTCGCCCAGCCCAAGGTTCCACATGTGCTGTTGGATGATGAGGTCCCCGATCAGACATGTCAGAGAGAGTAGGATCAGATAGTCGTCAATTCCGAGGTTGCCCAGTCTCGACCATCGCGCATACATGCGTAGCGCGACAAAAGGCACCGTGGCTACGGTACAGATATACCATGACACCTGTCAACTGAATCAGCACTGCACAAGCATACGATGCATGCAGGAAGAGGAGGACTTACCACCTGCCCGAGCTCACTGTCGGCCATGTTGCTTTGCTTGTGTGGCCGTCACCGAGGAAAAGGCCGTGAGGAGTTCGAGCCTGCTCGCTCCACTCTAGTTGGAGATCCAAGAACAGTGTGTGGAGAGCGTGACGAGGGTGAGTAGAACGTCGATTGACAGCGGGGCTGCCGCAACAAGTACCATTTTTCTCTACTCCACGGGCAAACGACCCCCTAAAGTAACTTTACAGGATGTTGCGGGTTGTGCAACTAGTATGCCGTCCCGTAGCGTTGTGGCATGATAGCATCAGGGGACCTCCCAAAGCCCAACCAACCGTAAGCTGGCAAGCATCTGAGAGGTCTCGGCCGCTAGAGTCGGTAGCCAAAATTGAGCTGCGAAACCCTTCTACGGCCGCTACTGAGTGGCAACGATTTCATGCGTTAGAGCAGGTTCAGCTACGCTGCTTGGAAGAATCTGACTCGAGACGACAAAACTACATGTATAGCATCGTGTCCGCCGAACGGGGCAGTGGGAAGTGAACGCCACTGCTCGCATGTGAAGAGACTACCGAGTAATGGATGGCAAAAAATCGTCGTTGGCCTCGGGGTCATGGGTGCGAGGGTGAGAAGGGTTGTGCTCAGATCCGTATCGAGGTTCCATGGTTCGGTCCGATGAGGATGCAAGCATCCTAGCTCGCATGGCGACGAACGACAGGGAGCGCCGGTCTGGAAGGCGAGAACTAGACACATGGCGCACGAGGCCGACAGGTTCTACCTTGGTACCGTCACCTTCTAGCGCTTTTGGTGTCTCAGCCGGGCTTCTAGCATGGATGCCGCACGGTAGC